GTGATCTATTATTTCTTGCTTATTTATTTTTGAATTTTAAAAGCTTATGATTGAAGAAATATATTACTTTTAATTTTCCCTTCATCGATTTTAAATTTTGCAAATTTTTCAGAGAGTTATCATGATTAATTGAATGAATTCGCGCGGTCTTCGCCATGAAATAAACTAATGGTACCACGGAAAAATTAAATAATCATAAAATTATTTTATTTTATGTCTAGATGGATGCTGAAGAAATTCTATGTTCTTGAGTTAAAAAAAAATTATCTAGCAGATAACAGCTGCAGATTATTTTCTTCAGATTCTAATTTAGATTCTAATCAGACTTCTTGCAGATTCTAATTTAGAATATAATTTTTTTATTTTAACAAAAATAAAATATTTATGTAAAATATATTTAAATACAGTCATACTAGTCATATTTCAAGGGACCGAAATTTCTGTTCACTATATCCGTTCCGCAAACAATTTTAACCAATGGTTCCGATCTCCTTCTTTTTATTATACATTATTTAAATTAATGACCCATAAAATGAAATACAAAAATGACTGAAAAATAATACGTTGTAACAAAAAATGCGTTAACTTTGCTTTTATTTTTATTACTCTTCGTTTTGCGTACAAAAAAAAGTTAGTGATCTTTAGCTGATGCAGGGAAAAATTTGTCCATACATCTGCCTGGGTTGGCCTTTGTTTAGGGATGGAAAAGTGAGATAAAAGAAGCAAACCAGAAAAAAAGCTTATCGCTACATTCCACTCTTATGGATGGTCTTAAAAATCAGTATAAGTATTTATTTTGAAGTAGACATTTCAAAATTATTTTTAAGAAATGAAGAAAAAATTCACTCGAAGACAGAAAAAAGTTCATTTTATCCAATTTCCTCACTTTTTTAGTTCACTATGCTATATCCACAAAAAATAACATTATACGTGCATAGCAAGGTAGGGGACCGAACATTTCGGTCACTATAGCGGGGTTTGACTGTATAAACAAAACACAGAAAATATTGCATAATTCTGAAATCTTATTTTTATTGTCGGAATTATCTTAAGATAAACAAATTAAAAAATTATGTGCACAATAAAGGTTTTAATTCCGAATTTTATAAAGAAACGTGGATTTTCTATCTTTCATTGAATTTGGCTTTGTTTAATTTCTTTCTAATGGAATAGTTCCACAGGAATTGCGATTGATGCAGCTTTCTATTATTATTATCTTGGTGTCCCACGGCTCAAAACGGGTTGATGCTTTGCTTTTTAAGGTGATGTTTTTTCATACTTGAAATTAAAAAATCAGTTTCAAAATTGTAGGATCTGTTTTTTTCTCCTTCACTCTTCTTTTTTTAAGTCAATACACTTAGTACTGCCATCTATCGGTAAACATAGGATTAAGAAAATAAATTACTTGTATCTTCAACTTCAACATTTATGAAAACATGACGATAAATACCATTGTAGAACTTAAATTTTAAGTTGCTGAACTATTCTACTTATCAAGAGAAATTAAAAAAAAAAAAATGCTTGGAAAAAACCACGATTGTTTATCATCATAAAAACCACATTCAATTAAAAATAATCAAATTTCTTTTAAAATGAATTTAATTTGATTTTAATAATATTCTATTACAGAAAAAATTGTTGTAAAAGTATGAGCTTTAATAAAACATAATTTTTATCACGCATGATTAATAGTGAAATTATTGTTTAATAAATTTATCGCTAATCAATTAATTTATGCTGATAAAAAAAAAATGATATTGTTAAATTTTGGGGAGAAAAAAATTTCGATCTATATTTTAAACGACTTCATTTTTGAAATTTTTTATTTCAAAACAGAACAATAATGGCTAATAATCTAAGTGTAACAAAAAAATTACAAATAATATTACATTATTAATAAATTAATAATTATTAATGTATTTATAAATTTAAAAAAAAATACAAAAATAACAATCAAATACACTAAAATATAAATGTAACCAAATATGCAAATTAAATTAAATTTCATGAACATGTTAATAATATTTTAAAGTGTTTAGAACCTTACGAATATAATATAATATTTATTTATAATATAAATAAATATCTAAAATATAATATTTATTTACATAGTTTAATTCAGCTATTTAAAAAAATTTTTGTTGTTTTGCTTCAGGATTAGTTGAAGTAAACATGATAAATAATTTTCTAGACCATGGGAAAGATGGTTGGAAGAATGCTGAGAAGGTTATAAAAAAGTTAAACATTAAGAACTGGAAGTTTAAAGCCGTGCTGAACCATGCACATAGTATTGCTATCTACACAAGTGAGGCCTTATTTCAGATGTATTTATGCCAAATTCAATAAAATTAGAAAGTAAATAGTGAGAGGTAAAGGTTTCAAAGTTAAAGGAGTTTTATGTGCAAAAAAGTATTGTAATTTTATTGCTTGAAACTCTCATATCTTCATTACTACAACTTGTCCTAATGACTTTTTCTTCTAGTTGTTGTAGTTCATTTACGTCGCACTAGGGCAGCACAATGGGCTATTGGCGACAGTCTGGGAAACATCCCTGAGGATGATCCAAAGACACGCCATCACAATTTTGATCCTCTGTGGAGGGGATGGCACCCCCCTTTCAGTAGCCCGACGACCTGCACGCGAAGTCGAGCACTTTACGGTAGAACAGTTTAACGAGGACCAATACCGCACACCCTCGGTTCCTACGCAGACTGATCCAAGTGGTCACACACCCGCAGCCAGTGATGCTTGACTTCGGTGATCTGCTGGGAACCGTGTATTAACGACCAGTCCACTGGACTACTTTTTCTTCTTAATTGATTCAGCGCAATACAATACATAGAATTCAAAACTTTTCTTGTTCACATAGTAATATAACACACGTAGGTAGGTTTGGTACAAAAATGAACTTTTTATGCACAAAAGCTTTAATAACTTTTGAACTATTAGTTCTATGAACTTTGGATAACCTCATCATTTCATTCGATTCAGAGCGCATTAAAATAAACAGGAAATAATACCTCAATTGTCTATATTGTGAAATCATTTAAGGTATTTTTGAGGTGTCAAGATTGATTTGAGGTTTATGCGAAGTTGATTTAAAAAAAGGAAAGATCAACCTCCCAAGGTGCATAATTAAGGCATATCAAGTTGTTTTATTCACTCTTGAGGTTGAAGGAAATCTACTTCAGAGCAACCAGTGTATGGAGGTTGTTTTTGAGGTGGACAGATGTGAATAATTTCACCCAAACAAAACTAAAATTATTTCTGAGTTATACATGAGGTTAATTTTGTAAGGTGTAAATGAGGTTATTTTTGGAGCAAAGCATAACCTCATTTTCTACCTCAGGTGTAGTTTTTTACATCTGTCCACCTTAACCTTTTCCCTTACAAAACACCTTATTTTTTTTGTAAGTAAAGTAAAGCTTGTTATGCAAAAGAACTGGTAGAACCACTTTTCTTGCTTCGAGGATCACTTTCTTCATAATGCAAACATAAACATTCAAACCAAAAAGCTTTTGCCTCTTTAGGTTGTGTTTTAGTGATCAATATGTCTTATCACAAGTGGAGAGCATCATATCAACAACTATCATTTTCAATGCATATGAAATATAGTAAACAGTATTTTCGTTAAATTATTACAACAGAGAAATACAAATTAAAAAAATGCTAAATCTGCATTTTAATGTTTAATTTCAGATATTTTGAAATGGTGATACGTAGAATATATTTAAATAATTTATAATCAAACAACTTTCCAAGTTAAAAATTATATGTTGTGTTTTGAGAAGAAGAAAAATCAAATAGTTGAAAAAAAAAATTTTTTTTTTTAAAGAAATGTTTTTCTTTAATAAAAGTATCATAGCTATATAATTTTCATACAGGTATATATCTCATACAAATTTTGGGGAATGAAGATTTACTGAGGTTGTAATCTCTCTCTCATAGATAAAATTAAAAGTCTGTCTATACAAAGGGTATATATTAAAAATGAATAACTAAATATTTACTCCAATAGCTCGAGAACAACAATACTGTTATTTATGTATTTTTTTTTGCAGTATTCAAATTTTGAAGAGGTGGTTTTTTAGCAATGCTCATTTTCTTGCAGGGCATAGGACTATTAAAAGTCTATTGTTACAGATTAAGCAGATGAAATCTAGCAAAAAAAAAAAAATGAATTACTCAACTTATAGTGAACTTTCTAGACTCAAAAACGAATTTAGGTCTTGCCTACCAATTCAAATGCTGAAATAAAATTGCAAGCTAGGAAGGTAAAAGAGGGGGGAAAAAAGAACAAAACAAGTTAATGTAAGTAAACAAAATAATAAAAAATTTCCTTTAGTTTGTCAGACGCATTATGAAACGAAATTAGTTTTTATTAATTTTTTGCTCGAATTATTTGCATCACTAATCCATCTTTAGCTGCACTCTTGTGAAATAAGTTTTTATTAAGCTTTTGTTCTAATTAATCCTCAAAATTTTTTTAGATTCGAGTGTCTAAGATAGATTCTCTAGACACGATCTTCAAATTATTTATTACGGTAAAAATTCGTTTTTTCTTGGTGGAAAAATTATTAAAATAAAAGTCTTTGGCTTACAAAAGTACTGTTTTAGCTATCATCACAAAGTTAATTCCAAATAAGTGTTGTTTGATTTTAACAAAAATACTGGTCTTGATATCCTAAAAGTGCTATTTAGCTAATTAACATAATTTTTGCTTAAAATGTTGAAATGTGTGGTTCAGCACAATGAACCCCTTTTTTATGAACAACTCGCAATGATACCTATTTTTGTTAAATCTAATTAAATAATGTTTCAAAATATGCAAAAACTGGAACTGCTAATACCCAAGAGGTAAATTAAAAATCACTGTTACTGTTGCAATATCAGTTGATTCTTATAAATCATCTTACATAATCCAGACTTAGTATAAACGTTACGAAATCCAAAGTTTTTGTGCTTTAAGAGAAAAATTAAATAATTCACACGTTTCTGCATTATATACAAAACAAAATTTTAATTTTTTTTTCATAAAAATAAACTTCAAAGTTTATAATAATATGATACAGTAATGTTGTAACAAACATTGGATACTTTTGGAAACAAAACGTTCAGAAGAAATTTTGTAGTCAAAAAGTGTTATAATAATTGGATACCTGCAAGTGACATCATTGTTGGTAAATCGAGGCATTTGTCGATTCGGGAACCAGTCAGGTTCGCCACACATGTGACGTCACTTACAGATATCTAATTAAATCTGATTTAAATCACATAGTTAGGCATAATCATTCCATTTCTTGAGTTTCAAGTATCTGATAGTTATTAGAAAAAAAAATGCATATAGTAATGCGAATAAATTTTAAATGAAGAGACAAAACTCAAGTTTATGCAATTTAAATAAAAGAGATTAATGAAATTTAATGAATGATAAGAGATAATTTTTCTTGATGTCTTCAATTTATAACAGAAATGAGAATAGTTACAGTTCGATTTTTAATCTTGATTGGGTTAGTGAGATATATCAGAGAGTTTGTGATGAAACGAGTTGAGAGATGAAAATGGATAATTGTAAGGTATTGTTCTCTTTTAAAAATGGCTGACTTTTTACATCCTAGCCACCTGAAAATAAAAATTGAATTAAATTAATAATATAAACTAATACAAATTAAAAACTCCTATGTTATAAGAACAAAATTAATGTCTTTTGATAATTCTATTGTTTAGGAGCAAGAATACTTGATCAATTTCTAGTAATAGGACACAAAAACATGGTTACTTCAATTTTTTTATTTCATATTTTTATTATTATTTAAGATAACTCAGAAGCAATGACAAAAGGCTTTGTGAACCTCTTTTAGATTGGACATAGAAATGCCACATTAGACATAGGTTATGCATCCTCGTTTTTGAATATTTGAGTAATTTCTGTACAGAAATCTTAAAAAGAATTCAAACGCCAAAGAACTATAATCTATGGTGTTCCAGTGATCCCAAAAATACAAGGCGTTTAATGAAAAATATGATACCTTATGACTCAGTACAATAACCTCCTTTCACCTTCCAACCCTAAAACTGACCGCTCTGGTCTTGTTTGCTTGCAACACCATCTATTGGCAACTTGTGTAGCTAAATTTCAAATTTTCAATATAAAATTTTAACAGCTTTTGTTATAGACACACAGTTTGTTTTATACCTTTATCCATAGGTGAAGCGTGAGGTGGAGGGAACACTTTTTTTTAATTATAGAAAACTGTTGGTTTATTTGAAGTTTTATAAATATATACACAAATATATGTCTACATATTTTATACATAGATGTAGACTTATATATTACATAAAAAAATTAACAATTTTCTTAAAAAAAGCTCAGCCCTTAACATCACATCTATCACTTTTTGTATTCTGAAATTTTCCAAATCAGTCAGCATCTTTCATATTATAATGTTCATTAAAAACATAACAAATGCAGCATAAAATTTATTTTACAGTGTTTTAGTTAAAATAAACAAAACTATTTAAAAAAAATAAAAAAAAACCTTGGTGCCCTTAAAGAATTTCTTTCACAACGAATTTTACTTGACTTGAAATATCTTATGTAAAATAATAGAGATTATTTATAAATTTAATGACCCTTTTTTTCTTTCGTAGACCTTTCATATAAGGTTTTTAAAAAAAGATAAATAAATAAAACAAAAAAAACTGGAGCACCCCCTCCATCCAAAAATTTTTTTTCACACAATACTTATGCAGAAAACTTGAGAGATATAAGCTCACTAAAAAAGGGAATGCCATAATTATAATTATTCTATACTAAAAATAAAAGAAAATTTAAAGTGTAAAGAGTGAGTCTGAATAAAGAACAATACAAACATAATAAATGAAACACTATAAATAAATAAAAAAGAAAAAAAACATTTTAACTCACTACTAATTTTAAGAATCTTCTTCTTGCTTCAAAGTGACCTAAAACCAATATTACACATGCATAAATAATTTTAATATACAACATAATTTCATATGAAATATTAAAAATTGGCAAAAACATAAAATTCTAATCTTTTTACTGATATATCTTTAGTGTGTTTGCAATGTATGAAAGGAAAAATTTAAATAAAGAATGGCATTTAGCTTTATAGATGAGAAATACAGAAAGGAAATACAAACCTCTAAATTTCCATTTTGAATTGAAGAACAATCATTGGATGAATCACTAAACTGTAAGCCATTCTGTGATGTCTCACTGTCAGACAATGGTTCCTTTTTAACAACTGTAGAATTAACATTTTCAGCCTTTAAAGAAAAAATATAATAAATATACCAACCTTTTTTTTATTATTTTAATCGCTTGCAAACATTGATTAAAATGCTCTATCACTTACTACCTATTTAAGTTTACATTTATTTTAATGCATAAGAGAAAGGGATACAAAATGAGAATATAAATATAAAAAATACGGGAACATAAACAGGAATGTGACAAATTATGTCCCACGATGGCTTAGGGGATACAGTGAGGTGAACCGCGTTCGAACCACACTGATGGCTGGTCGATGCGAAATACACATCTGGCTTGCACCAATCACAATGCTGACGTGAAATATTCTAGTGGTAGACGGATCACGGTTTAGAGTCCCTTTGCCGTCAGGCTGACCGCGGGAGGTTCCTGTGGTCTTCCTCTCCATGTAACGAAAATGTGGGTTAGTTCCATCAAAAAAGTCCGCCACGAAGGCAAAACTTCTCCCAATACTTGATCCTGAAGTTCCCTTTTCTTCTGGATTGGGTTCAAAATTGCAAGGCTAAGAAGTTGAACATTGGTAGTCGTAAACCCAAAAATTGGGTGGGCTGTTCAACGACGGTTATAAAAAAATAAAATAAAATTATGTGCAGACATTGAATATAATAAAAATAACAAATTATTTTTTTGTGCTATTTTTTTATTAATAAACACGCATTAATATTTAGAAAGTTTTATTTTTGATTGGATCTTGCCATAATCAACAGTAATAAATCATCAGACAGATGATACATTAATTTTTAATTAGTCATAATTTTCTTTTGCTCTTAATTCCCCAGTCATTAAAATAATTTCAAAAATATAGTAGGAAAGCATAGTCTATAACACTCTACAGCAGGAATTGAATGGTCAATGACAATCGCTTTATCCCACCCTGTAGATTATAGACAAAATATAAAAATAACTTTTTGTGATACTGTTTCTTAGATTAGATTAAATTTTTAATTTTGCTGAATAGTTTATATGTATGTATTCTGCAACGTTAAAAGAATTATATATTAAATCTAATCCCAGAATAGAGCTTATTGATTTAATTATCTAAGAAAATGTGATGATGAGGTCTTCAGTGTCAGTGTTCAGAAGAAAGATATAAAAAACCCTCTAAGGAGTAATAAATAAATGATAAATTTCATTAAACACAACGTTTAAAATCACAAATGTGATTTTTTTTATTATTAAAACCAATATGTGTTTCATTGGCATAAAGGTGCACCTTTACCATTGGGATAAAAGACAGGAATGGTAAAAACAAGAGATGATTTGATCCGATGGGGGTTACGTCATACTAAGAGTGATAATTATACAGTCAAAAATCAAAATGACCAAATTAAAAAGTTAATGATTTCCAAATATTTGAAGAATATGGTACAGCACTAAGATCATTATCAAAAGAGTTTTTGATGTAAAACCAGGTCAACACACAAAATACATTTATGGATGATATGATAACGTGTAGAAAAATCAAACTTATGGCTTTCTGTCCAGTAATGTCTTGTGATAGGTACATACCTGCCAACATTAGAAAAATAAAATAACGGAGATTTTACTAGCTATATTTTTCAGGCTACAAGTAAAGTTTTGATACATCATGCATAATCATGTAAGTCAAAGAGAGAATTTCAAAATTGGAAATAATATTAGCACTTACAATTAGCGAAGTAAAAAATATGTATATAAATCTTAATCTAAAGAAGACTTTTTTTTAAACCATTATCTATAATTATTCAAACAATAAACACTCAACATACTGCAGTATTGGCAATAGCACCATCTGCTGAGGAATAAGAGAAGTATTTTTGCCATCAGCGGATATTATTGCTAAATTTTTATTTTTCAATTTCTCCTACAAAAACGGAGAAATTTGAGAATATATGGGTAAACAGGAGATAGTCATAAAATACAGGAGTCTTAGTTAAAAAACAGGAAACTCGGCAGGCATGTAGATGAAAAGTGGAATTCTAGGTCCTTGACATGTAGTCTTGATTTTCTTTGAGTCAATATTTGAGTGCTCGTTCCTCCTATGTTACATGGGTATGAATGATTTAGTCTACAAAACTCCACATAGGTTGTCATTTTATGTTATAACAGTATAATTATCCCTTTTAGAATGACATAATCTCTGTCAGATTAAATAATTTCTGTATCCTGTCCTTTATTATTTGGATGAAGGTGTACCATTGTGCCACTGAAATTCGTATAGGTTTGTAATAAAATTTTACTATTTGTAATTTTAAACATGGAAATTTAATTTCATCACAAAGAATTACTCTCATAATTTGATATTATGGTGTTTCACACATGCCTGAAAGAAGACTAAAAGAATAAGAGGTAAAAAACTAGATTATTCTCTAAAACTAGATTAAGTCTCTTAGAACACTATGCGTTTGATGCCTGGCCTTGAAAAAAAAAGAGGGGATTGATTAGAAAAATAAATAATAAAAACAGAAGAGATAATTTTAAGAAAATGCTACTGTAGAGAGATTAAAATGTAATTCTTATGGTCAGATATTAATAAAATTATGAACTTACTTCTATACTAAGGGTAGGATCATTCTGTTGCAAATGCACTAACTTACAGACATTAGGATCTAAAGAAACTTGAAGATGTTCATAAGGCAACTGAAATAATTAAAATGTTCACTTTAAAGAATTGAAGCGTAGAAATAATTTTAGATAGTATGTTCACAAGTTCAGATTTAGAATTGTTAAAAAACATTATTTGAATTTTTGTCTTGCAATTACAGTAGAGTCCCAATTATCCGAGTTAATAGGGACCGCAACAAACTCGGATAACTGAAAAACTTGGTTAAAGCGAAGAGTATAAAAACGGAAAGAAAAAGAGAAGGTATAAATGTAATATATTTAAGAAATACAAAATGTATACGAGTGTACCACATACAATTCATATTATAATTAAAAAGCTTACTTAAAAACATTTAAAAAGCATACTTTACGAGAATTCAATAGTTTTGACTTAAAAAAAGTCCTTAATCGTTTTTCGTTCTACGTAACTTTGGCGCTTTTCTGTAGTAATGTTTCGCCTTTTTTAGGGATAACAGGAAGGCTGGTGTCGCCTCTTTTTGTTGTTCTATATATTCAATAATACATTCAATAGCTTTTAGTCCACCTGTATGAGAGATTTTTATATGTTGATTTTAATAATCACTGTCTTCATCATCTTCGCTAGATTCATTATTGACGATAATTTCATCAGACCAAGTTGTTGGATTTTGTTTTTCCAAGTGTTTGGAAGATAAAATTCAGATTTATTTTTCAGCGGTTTTTTTAAAAATAAACTAGAACGAAAAAATATCTGAAATATTTGATAGCTCGGTTAAAACGGAAACTCGGATAACGGGGGCTCTACTGTACCTACAAATTTAAATGCAAAACAAAATGTAACAATCACATAATTTGAATATTTAGACTTATGCATTTTAATTAGTAAACCAGTTTAAAAACTTTATTATATTTCCAGAGACACATTCTTAATTTTACAAATTTTTTATTTAAAAAACAAGGTCATTATAATCTACTTTTTTTATATAATGTAAACATGCAATGCTACACTCACGTTTTGTGAGCTCTTCTTAAAAACAAATATTTTGCAAAACTTTTAGTAAAAGCAAATTCATTGTAGTTTATACTTCGATTCTTGAAATATCTATTTTCATAAACATACTAAAACTTACTCGAATTTTATAAATGTTTAATTCTACTAACACAGATATACATACAACTTATTTCATAGTAAGTTAAAATAATATTATCATAAACCTAACTTAAAACTTACCACAGAATAATTTTGTTCATTTATTAGAGCTAATAAATCATCTTCCTTTTCAATATTTGTTAACTTCTCCAATTGTATACTTGAAGGAATGTTGGAAGAATTTATTGAACGACTAAAGAAACACTCGTACGGACATTTTGTTCCATTATTAGACAACTTTGTATTTTTCTTTAATTGAACAAGTTTCAGCCCAAAACTCCAATTGCTCGAATTATTTTCCTGCATCCATTGTTTTAACATAGAGTTAATATCTGCAATACAATTTTGAGCAACTTCTTGCAATTCTTCATAAACATTTGAGCCTGAAACCATAACAATATCCGTCCAAGATTGTTTTAGCTCATGGATGATTAATGATAAAAACTGATTATCGAAATTGCTGTGCAAAATTTGAGGCGGTCCAATCAATGTAAATGTGCTCATTAAATGCGACACAATTTCATATTTACATTTGCATCTAGTGGGGTATAAAACACAAAAACATGTTTGTAAGTCAATATATAAAAATACAAATCTGTAGTCACCATCGGGACAAGTGCTAAAGTCAATTAAGTCGATGAATCCCCGTCTGAAAGTGCAAACAGTATTATTTGAATTAGTTTCTGTGACATAACTGTTTATAATATTATCAGGTGCTGTTATAACAGGTAATTGTTCATCTATTTCTCTATGATTATCACTACTGTTACTTGTATTACTGAGAGGACTGTCGCATGATCTTTCATAATGATGATCAACCGCAGTTATTTTCGGGGCCAATTTACGGAATACATCTCGTTTACGTGGCCTGCAAAGTTTACAATAGGAAAGAAAAAGTTCCACCGTATCCCTTGTAATATTAACTATACCTTGATTTTGAATACGCCTGACTATTCGATCGCGACATCCATGTTTGACAAATTTATGAGCTACTTCGATGTAAGAATATATTTCTTCTAAGGCAACGTAAAACTTTATTACATCTTGCGAGTTTTCAGTTATAGCAGTATTTTCTTGTTTGCAAGATAATCGCTCTTTTCCTGCGATATTCAGCACCACAAATTTACGTAACAAATAATATTCACCAGGAATGTTACAAGGAGGATTTTCATTCATACTTTTAATTTTTTCTATTATGTCTTTATATTTACTTAAAGGATAAACATTACGGATTTTTCCATCTTGAAAACGCTTCCATAAAGCAGCATTAAATTCATCAACAGGTACATGCGCATCCATTTGAATAAGTTAGTGAATAAACCATACATATATTATACGTTATTTACTTCTAGAAACTATCAACAAAAGCAAACAAGCAGAAAGCAGCACGAAATAAACAAAACAAATGTAATGGTTGCAGTTATTTTCCTAATGTTGTGTATTTTTTCTTTCTTTTTTTAAATATTATGAGGAATCCTTTCACAATCACAAATCCTTTCAATTTTTAAGTTTAATTCATTTCCATCTAAAAGATTGAACTTTTAGAACTTTAACAAATGACAATTAGTTGGAACCTTTTAGAGTGCAATGCCTGGTTCCACTTATATTAAAACACTCATAGTAATACAATTTTCTTCAAAATGCAATTTTTTACCTTCGTAGTTTATTATAATTAGATATACATGCTAATTATAAATGTTATTTAAATTTAACAAATACCAAAATTAAATTACATTTGGTGCTTATAGGTTGGGAGTGGGGTTAAGAAGACCTCAACTTTTCTAACTTTTTCCCCAACTTTTTGCAGTTTGATGCGTTTTCTTAAATCTGCTTTGATACTTTTTCGATTTTTTACGAACTGAAGAGTGTTTAAACTTTTTTTAACAATATTTTAAAACATGCTCATTTCGATGAATGTAAACATAAGTTAGTTTTGCTTACAGACGAAAAACTCTTCCGCGAATTCAATTGTAATTTATTTTTACAGGCGATGTAACTTTCTTGAATGAAACATTATCTTCCTTTTTCAAATGGGCTTATGCTGTGTTTGAGATTGACAATTTGAAAAATTACAGAAGTATTTGTATAGATAGAAAATTGTTCATCCAGTTTGTATTTCAGTGCTATGCATTTTAGCAGGTTAAAGAAATCTTTTTATATTGCAAGTTTATTAAACATAAATTTTACCTGGTAACATATGTTTGGGGATTTTACATGTATTTCTAACGTAAAATCTCAGGTGTACAATGTGTGTCATAATGAAAAAATGGTCTAGCTAACATTAATAAATAACATGTTGCATAAAAATTTTATGTATCTGTGGTTTGTGTTGCTAAAAACTTTACAGATATAGTTAAAGTGATTAATATGTTTATGAGAAAAAAGAATAGTCAAATATGTAAACTCGAAAATTTTATTAAAGTAATGTATGTGGTAGAATGTTTGCACAGGAAGCATTTTTGACCCGTATTGATAAGTAACCTGTTCTGTGCGTAATTAAACATTTACACATAATTAACTTTTTTGTTTGTTTTTACGAAAAGGATTCCTTATTTTTCCAGTGCGTCCATGTGATGTATAATTTATAAAAATTAAACTTGCTGTGATAAACTTAACTTTTGTAGCATGAGGTTATTATCATGCTTAAATGATATTATTTTTAACTTTATTTATTTGGAAAATTCATGTTTTGCAAGTTTACTCAACTGTGTATAATTAATTCAAAGTGATATTGTATGCACTATGAGTCTTGCGACAAAAACTGATTCTATGAAATTTAATACCGTCGAAGTTAGTGAGAAACCTTATTCTTGTAATGTATGCAATCAGAGTTTTTCATTAAATTATCAACTAGTTGCCCACAGTCGCATACATACTGGTGAGAAACTTTATTCTTGTGATGTATGTCAAAAAAGTTTTTCAGTTAAGGGTTGTCTAAAAAGACATGTCCAAGTTCATATTGGTGCGAAGCCTTACTCTTGTAATATATGCAATAAGACTTTTTCTCAAAAAAAATCGTTAGTCCATCACCATCGTATTCATACGGGTGAGAGACCTTATTCTTGTAATGTATGTAATAAGAGTTTTGCACAAAAGAGTAATCTAACTGTCCATAAACGTGTTCATACTAATCAGAAGATTTTTGAATGTAGTATATGTAATAAGAGTTTTACTCAAAAGACTCACCTAACTACTCACAGTCGGATTCATACTGGTGAAAAACCATATTCTTGTAGCATATGCAATAAGAGTTTTTCACATAAAGGTAATGTAATCGTCCACAGTCGTATTCATACTGGTGACAAACCTTTTTCTTGTGGTGTTTGTGATGAGAGTTTTTCATTTAAAAGATCATTAATTGCCCACAGTCATGTTCATGCTAATGAGAAATCTTAAGAGGGTGGCCACACAAATCTGGAGGAGGGAAAAATTCCTTGTACATATTACACACAATATATTAAGAGGAAACAACAATTACTTTGCTCTTGTGTGAGCTATATTAGGCTAACTATATTTAATAGTTTTAATTGCTAGAAAACCACCTGAACATATTTAAATAATGCTATAGTAAATGAAATAGTTTAGTATAGCTGAAATATCATGGTTAAATATCCCATAGATTACGCTTTGAGTGGTCACCATTTTTTAAAAGACAAAAATAAGAAACAAAATTCCCTGCATTTTCTCAGTTTGTAAAGAAAAAATAAAATTCCCTGTGGAGTGGCAACCCTGCTTAGTCTACAAATAAATGTAATAAGAGTTTTTAACTCAAACGTTGAGGATATTTTCATAGCGTGATCTGTTGTTCGAACTATAACTTCAAAGGCACCAAATGGATTTTGAACTCGCAAATTTTTTTTGAAAATAATATTCAGAGGTGGCTACGGATTGGTCCCTTTCTGTAGAGTATTTTTTACTTTTCCGTGAGCCGTTACCAAGACATGGCGATTATTCTGCCACAGATCACAATATGGAAATCCTTCCCCAAAGGTAAACTTATTCTATAAGTAAATATAACTGCTTATAGACATTTGACTTATTTTTGTAATTGTAAAGTGATATTACTTAGGGACACTTTTTCAGGTTTATTCAGATAACTTACTTAAATTGCTATGTAAGGCTCTGAATATTTTACTAAATATTTCTGCACAACTTTCCTCCAATGTAGAAAGAAATCTTTGTTCTTAATGATTTGGAAAAATTTAAAGAAAAAAAAATCTTTGTGTCACAAACTTGCCACATTGGGTGAGGTTACCTAATATATTATCTTAAAATCGATTAAGACATTATTCTAGCCAGGGATGTAGAACCAGAAGGCACTCATATGTGACGTTCTAGAACTTTGATAAATATATTATTAATTTTCACTAATATATTATTTATAAAGTTTACTAATCTTAACATTAGTCTCTTAAAGTAACCCCCCATTTAACAATATAACTTATAACAATGTGTTATAAAAATTATTTAATGAAGTGTCATCTGTCCTGTTTATACCAATCACAAGATTTTACTTTGTGGTACATAAATTAAAAGTTTTTCATAGTAAGATAATATAATTTCTCATTGTTGGACTCCTACGAGCAAAAACATATTTGTACTCTTGTATTTATGTTACGCCTGTTAAATATGTTACGAGTATTTTTCCTCAAGAAAATATTAACTGATTATGTTTTCATACTGATAAGTATAGAGGGTGTCCTGAAATGACTAGCTTTTGTGGATGTTTTATAAAATTCTTGTATTAAATGTTTAAAACTATGTATATTAGGCAAAATTATATTATCATTGTCGAGGTCAAAAAGAGAAATGCAGTGATAAAAATGATTTAAAACCAATTTATTTAAAGAAATTAAAGGCAGCTCCTATCAAAAGACAAACGCATACTAGTCCCAGTTGACAAAATGTGATATAATGATTTATATCTCGCTTAGTTTTTCTTGGCACTAGTATTAATTAAAGAAGTTAGAAGTACTTTAATTTTTTCTTTTACTTAAATTTTTGTTTATATATATGTATATGAGAACTCTTAAAATTTATATTAAGGATGGTTATTATAGAACATCCTAATGGGAATTTTCCATTTAGAAAACTCAATAAATTTTAAAACTTTTTTTGTATGACTGTCCACTTAAAAAAAAAAAAAAATTGTTCTCTGCCCACTTTCAAGTCGTTAAATTTGTTCTGTTACTCCAGCTGATTTGTTTGAATTCAATAAAAGTTGAAGACGAGTCTTAAATGTTTATGCTGTGCATTATACTACTTTCATGTGCTACTTAACCATTATTTAATTAATTTAATCTAACTTCAGAAAAAAAATATCAATGTGATAGATAAGTGTGGTGCATTTTAGAAGTTTCTGGACATTAAATTCAAATCGTGTCAACATCAGATGTATGTTGTGCTCAGTGCATTCTGCTCATTTAAATGAAATGGAATTCTTTTTCTGCTGTGTAATATTGTAGGAGCTCTGATTCCCGACCTCATAATGAAAAGTGTAATATTTTATGCAGATTTACTGGAACTTTTATTTTCCATACTTTTGTAGAAATGCCAAATGAATATAAATTTTTTGGACTGTTATGAGATGATGATTGCACATAGTGTTTTATATTAAGCTTAAACTTAACTGTTTAAGAAGTTCGTGATATGTCGTTAAATTTTATAATATACACTGTGAGAGTGTCTATAAGAACTGGTTTTTATGAAATAGATTTATTAATCTTGTTATATTTAGAATCATACATGTATATTTACTTTTTCATTTTGTACATAACTGCATTTAAAAAAAGAAATTATAAAATTTTAAATATGCATGCAGTCCTATTATTGAATTCATCCAAACATACAATGCTAAACACTATTTCAAAAAATGCTATTCACTGCAGAAATTTCAGTAATATGCATGCTAAATTTTTGAGGTAAAACAAATTAAAAAGTTATTGATCCCACTGAGTAAATAACTTTTTTGGAACAGAATACATATTTTTAAAAATGGCAAACTAAATAGTACAAATCTAGAGCTCTGTCACTCATATAATGAACCTGACATTATTAAATGACCTAGGGCGTCGAGCAATATAGTATAATTTTACCGCAAGAGAATACTAAAGCAAATTTTTAATTTCAGAATTATTTTGTTTATTATAGGAAATTTTAACCGTTTCCAGTTATAGTTTTATCAATACTAAACTTGTAAGAGTAAAAAATCAGTGTGTGAAAACTTTTATATTACTGTTGTGTTGCAAAAACCGGAATTAGTCTCACTATTCCTTCATACCAATTTGTAATGGTGTTCAAAATACTCTTAAGAGTTTAAATAATCTCTTAACAAAAACATTTACTGTGCCGCTTAACATTTTTGTACAAAAATAGTTTTAGTGGGCAATCCTTCAATTCATTTTTATAACATGATTACTGTACTTTTGATTGGAATAGATCTTTTTAAAAATCCACAATTGCCTTCTTAGAACCTGGGATGTTCTGAACAGATCACAACAATCAGGACAACTATGAACCCTGTTGTTAAACTTTTTTTTTCAAATTTTTTCTCATTTGTACAAAATTTAATAAAATGTAGTGGTACATTTAACTGTTAACATCACATGTAGGATGCAATTATAAGGGAATTGAAAACAATACGAAAGACATGGAGGGAGGCAAAATAGATATTTTGCCACAGAGTGAGATAGATCATAGAAGCCCTATGCTCCAATTCGGAGTATAGAGGAATATGTATGCATGTGTATAGTATAGAAGCAGCAATAGCTCAGTGGTTAAAGGTAAAAAACTGGGATTTGAACCTCACTCAGCTTTAGATTGATGGATATTAGCTTGCAAGCAATACCGATTACTTTGCCAGGTTGATAAAATTGTCAAGCCTTAACCTCAATGACTCGGCCGGCCTGTTTCACAAATGCTTTACTTTTTTTTTAAACATCACTAATGAATGCTGCCAGTTTTTTGTTCTCACCAGATAAGCTACTCAGATAAAAAAAATTCTCAGTATAAATCTGTTTTTAGCTTAATAATAAACTTTTTTACTTCTGTCTAATATATTTAAATTTGAACACACTTGTCAAATACTCGTGTTGCATAAAAAGAAAAGTATTAATTTTTAAATTTCTATTTCTCCATTTTTAGTCTTGGATCAATTTAGACATTCACATGTCAGAAATGCAACACAGAACGAATGCAATAAGTTGAGATGAAAATTTTATCATATTTTAATATAACTTCAAAGATTATAAATTATTATTCAAATGAAGTGAGTAGAATAGAGAGCAATATTGAATGAAATAAATACCCCCCTTTTTTTTTGCATAACACTAAACATTAATATTAAAGAGAATCTTAATGCATTTAGTGTGTATTATAACTGATTAAGTCACACATTTAAATTTCTTTATAATGTTCACAAACTCTGTCAATGCATATAGGCATTTTTAAAACGATGCACTTTACACCAGTCTTTTAATCAAATAAAATTCAATCTTCAAGAAGACTCACAAATTGAAATTTAATTAATTGTAACTGCCATAAAAATCATGGCAGGTGGAGACAATTCTTTTGAATGATGAAGACTTTTTATATATCTTTACATTACAATTAAACGATGCTTAATTCACAAATGAGAAAAATTATTTCATATTTATAAGTAAAATATAAAAATCCCATGGAGCACATGTTTATGATCAATAAATGGAACAATATTTTAGTTGGAGTACTTTAAAATTTGCTTCAGACACACTTTTGTAAAACTATTGATTCAAAGGTGATCAGCACAAAAATGACTCGTTTGGAACAATTGGATGAAATCTCATCTAAATTGATTCATTCGCTCATGTCAGTAAGTTGGGTAAATGTGATTTCTAGATTTTAGCAAAGTAAAGTAGGGCAGTTAGCGCAAACTGAAGAGTTTCATCAATACATTTAAGTTTCATGGGCTAATCTTGTCTCTCTGTTCTTCCCAGTTTGATTACTATTACATGGCCAGAAAAAATTTCCTCAACTAATTCACAAGCAACAACTATGAATGAGACTTACAACTAAAACAGTAGATACATTTTAAATAAGGAAAATACATTAAATGGTTAAGTTATTGTGTTTAAATGCATATGTTTATATAAACAAAATACAGAAATAAAAGGTGAACTAATTTTAAAGAAATGACAAAAACAAGTTTTTCAAATTTTATTAAGATTAAGATATTTTTACATATAATCAGCAATGATGTCACAGTCCACAATTTTAATTCAGCGCTTATGATTTTCAATTAAGAATTTCACTACTTTTTAGTTTACTAAGCAACTATTGAAGTAGTTGTAAATAAAAGGGTACTAGTCAAACATTTTTAATGTGAAAAGCTGCCTAGGAAATACTAAAACCTGTAAATTTAAATAAATTTTATGTATTACTATCGGTACACTTTCTTATATTTTTAAAAATAAATTATTTGCAGTTGAAATGATTGCTTCTTTTTTAAATTTGTTTCCTGGGAAGTGTAGAAAAAAAAAAGGATTATAATTTCAATAAATAGTTGGAACAACAATATTAGTTGTGCCAAGCTAATACAAATTTCAACATGAAGTATGACATTTGAATTTTCACCTTACAAGGGAAATACCAAACTTATATATATCTTTTGAAACCAAGCTTAAATTAAAGAGCAGGGTCAAAAATTTGCTGCTACTACTGATTCAGGGTCAAAATATAACCCCCTAAAATTCTGGTTTATTTAATGCATATTAAAAAAAAATCTTAAATGCAGGGCTTCATTTTGTACTCAGTACGCATTGCTGCTGTTTTAAGTGAAAAATGTTTTGTGTTTGTTTATTTAAACTATATATATTAAAAAACTATAAAAATTTTAACAGTTAGTTTTTATTAGGAATAGAACCAGAGACATACTAATTAGAAGACAATATCTTAACCATTTGGCTAACGATACACACGCAATAAAGTTTTTTTTTTTTTTTAATATGAAGTGACGTTAAAAATTTTGGGAACAGAGCATATTTTGATCTAGGAACAATAACTGCAGCAAATTTTCGCACCATCCTATTTTTTTGACCAGGCTTTTAAACCTATTAACTGGGTATGACAAAATGTTTTATCATACATGAACTACTACCACAATGGGCTTGACAACATTTTTGGTCATGGAAATTACTTGAGATAAGAGAATATTACTTAAAACTATGAGAAAAAGTTGACAAAAGTTTATTCCCTGGTTAACAGGTTAATTTAAGCTTGGTTTTGTTTCTGAATGTTTTTTACCAGTATTATAAAATAAAGAATGTTAAGGCAGAATGTGTTTTGTGGATGATAATAATAGTTAATTTCACAGCACTTAAGCAGATAGCCAATTTTGAAAAAATATTTCTCTCAAAGACAAAGTTTTCATGCAATAATGTATGAGAAATTAATTTGCTGTGCAGGAATGCATGCAGATGGAAATGTAATTTATTAATAACAGGACTGTTGGATGTATAAACCATGTTTCAGTAAATTATTTATTAATCCTGTTTCCTCCCAGTTCATATTATGTATAAACTCATTATAATTAGAAATAAATTATATGTGCTAAAGTTGACAAAATGGCTCTGACATATTTTTTCAGGAAATAGCAAATTGATTTAATGCAATATAGTAGAATACTAAAAAACATACACTTAGTCCATTCCTGCATATACATACTAATAATATGCATCTAAGGATCAATAAAATAGAAAATAATAATTTTATTTAGTAAAACAATAATAAAAAATAATTTAACACATAATAAAATTAAAGAAAAAAAAACATTGAACCCAATAGTTAAAACTACAGCATTATAGTATTTTATTAGGAACTGTTTGATATTTTTTTTTATTAGCTCAATTTTATTTAAGGCTATTCAAAATTCCAACTTTCACGTGCAAAAACAGATAAAATAAATAAGTTATTTATGTGTAAAATATCAGGGCAATATATTATTTTGATGTTCAAAGCCAAAATCACTGAAACATCTTAGTGCTAACAAGCAATCAGATGCAATTTTTTTCTTATAAAAAGCTAATACATAGTGCAAACTATTAATTCAACAAAACTTAAGAAATAAATTCATATTAGATTTTATTGCTTGTTAAAGTTGGAAAGATAGTTTGCTATGACCCTATGAAATGCTCATTTTTATAATTTAAGACTAGCTCATCATTTGTAAAGTAATATATGCTCTTTCAATTCTTAATATAATTATCAACATTTATCAAATTCTATTTAATTTATAATATGTTTACTTAAGTATTTTTACACAATTCTTAAAAAGAAAATTCAGGATAATATTTAGACCATTTGCTTAATTTCATAAAAATGAAATTTACCATTGATGGCTTCATATCAAAATAACAAGACTTAAACATTTTATTTTTATAAGCTTCAATTTTTTATTCTTTTGGGTATGAGCATTTGATAAACACAAATGTTGGTGAAATTATATATCAATACTCTTAATTTAAAAATCATAAGTTTTTTTTTTTTTTTAAATATTCAGTATTGGCAACAACAAAGTGGAAGTATACATTAGTTTCATGAGCAAGTATCAGCATAACAAATAATTTGAGCAAGAAATGGTAAAAATAAAAATTGAATTTTGTAATTCTCAACTTTAATAAATCAATTTATTTGAAAGATTATTAATTAAATTAATGAGCTTTCTAAAATGGAAGATCTCACAATGCATAAAGCTTTTTGTGTGTTGTAAAATATTTTGTATTCATAAAACTTAATTGATTTATATTTATACAAAGAAATAAATTTAATTGAATACTTCAGTAAAAATTACTATAGCAACCAAAACCTTGGGGTCCTATTTATATAAATAGAGATAGGATGATATACAGAGGCGTGTTATACGGATTTGAGATTGGCTGAGAGCCATAATTAACCATATAGAAACTACAAAATCTCTCCCCCACTTAGTATATCTATCTAAAGGAATCCCAAAATTATTGAAATGTATTCTTTTTTTTCCCCTCTAGTATCTACATCTAAGGAATCCCAAAATTATGGATAGGCATTCTATTTTTAATGAATAAAATTATTCAAAATATTAAATGTAACAATAACAATCATATATTTAAAAAATAAATGGCTTTTGAAAACTGCTTTAATCAAGTTTTTTTTGTTTGTTATATGCCAGAAAGGAAAAGAAAAATTTGCTGAAACAAAAGTTTTTGCGTTGCTCGGCAGCAGTTATTGCTTGAAAATTGTGTAAATAAACTTTTAACAATTATATGTTTAAAGAGATGAAACAGATAATAATTTATGCAACTTAGGCTCAGTTGTAAATCATTGGTATTTATAACCGAGAATATATATATATATATAAATAATAATAAAAAAAAACCATTATATATAGTTTGATACAATTAACATGGTTTTGATGAGGAAAAAGATAGTGATTTGCGAAAAACTATATTAAATATGGTACAGATTCCGCTACTGGAAAAAACAAACAAAAAACAACAACCTAAAATATGGTTTGATACAACTAACAGGATAGTAAAATCATATTAAATATGGGAACAGATTCATTATCATTTCATTTTTGCAACCATTATTTTCACAATTTTAAAGCTGTTTGATTTAAACAAAATAAATTTTTAGAAACTGGGTCAAATATTGTAAAAAGATATTCTATACACGTTAAAAAATTTAAAATAAGTAATAATGTATATTTTATTCTTATCCTCAGATTAAACCCTAGCTCAACAAGCCATGAAATTTCAAAGCTACTCACAGTTAGTACATTTACACACGACAGTCACTAGCACCATGATCAACGTAGTGTTATCGTTATATTTTGTTTAAAAAGTTCCCAATTATAGCTGACTGAATTACAGATATGGTAAATACTTTAAGCATTCATTTGTCAGGCACCCATAACTTTTATATAATATTTACATAAGAAATTGTTTTGAAAAAAATATTTAGAGAAACTTTATTCAAGAGAAGGATCCTTTTCTTTAGTTCTAGTATTACTAAATCATGAAAAGTATTTTAAAATATTCATTTTTTGTTATTCGATTCGGGAAACTACTCTCGCTCTTTGAAAAATGCAGGTTATGTAAGTGGACACTTTTACAGGAGTAAAACTAATTCACAAAAAAAAAAANAAAAAAAAAAAAAAAAAACTTGATAACAAATTATAGCCATCAAACATTAACTGCAAAATATTCCCAATTATAATATTAAAAGAAGAATTTCAGAATTAAAACAATTGGAACAGTAGTACTTAAATATTTTTTATACTTTTGTATTCATTCAAGAAAAATTATTCCATAGCAATCATATATATCTGCTTTATTAAGCAAATGGTTTAAATATATGTTTATAAAAAATACTAAACAATGAAGTTTGCGCCACTTGTGAATGTTCCATATGATTCAGAACTGCTAGCACAAGATAAAAAATTTCTATATATTTTTACATACAATATGACATAAACTGTACACATGAAATGACCTAATAGCAGGAAAAAATAGTTTTCATATTACTTGATCACTGTAAATGACAAGGGTAAATTATTTACAATCCAATTCCCAGAAGCTTTACAATAAATAACCACAACAATAAATGCTGTAAAAAGAAACTGTGCAAAAACGTTTTTTATCACTTAGTCTAGCACAGGAAATTTTAAAACACAGTTTAAAATGTTATGCATTCTTATTTCCTATCATGAAAATTTAGATTTCTTTTTATCACTTCTCTTTTTCGAATGTCTTACTTTCTTAATATAACACTCTACAAGATATTTGACTTTCACAGGGTTAATTTCACCAGACTTGTTATGACATATCTGGAAAAAAAAACGAAAAACATAAATTATCTTGCATAAGCATATTATTCCAACAAAACTACCAATACAAAATTAAAATATGCACACGTTGCAAATAGATTAAAAAAGGTCAAATTTTAATATCAATCAAAATTAATAAATGTAAAGAAAAATCTAATAAATTTGACTATGACATAGTCTTAGGCTTCCCAATAAGCCTTGCAGACCAATGCATTCCTGTCACACATGATATACATTCATATATATTAAGATTGATTACAGCACCCTCTGTCGATGATCCAGAAATTTGTTAAAGCATGCATTTTAATTTATTCAGTAGACCACAATATTCAGTTTTATTTAAGATATAAGTTAATAAATTCATAAAAGCTATTTCCCTTTTAAAACTTGAGCCTCTACCCTTGCCATCTTGGTTATCGTTTAAATTTTTAACTTTTATTTTCTCGATATTCTTAGTACTTAACAAACTTTTGATGATATATTATTAGACAGCACATAAAAAAGTAGAAAATAAAGAGGTAACTTTATTAGGGTAGGGAAAACAAAGCTTGATAAATTAATAAAATAATGGGATTTGTAGTTTTGAATAAGTTATTTAAACAAGTTTTTTTTTCTTTTTTTTAATATTTCTAAAATTTTAATCTTATTGAACTGATGAAAAGCGATTTCCTTTAACATTAATTGCATAAAAATAAACGTAATTACCAAAAATCTAATAACTATTTGCTATTTAAATATCTTTTAAAAACTGTTGAATACAAACTTGTTTGGCAGACTTTGTGAGAAAAAACTAATAGAGACTCTAAAATACTGAATGCTTTTATCTCTAATTCGGAGTGGATGACAGCCTTATATTATACATGTATCGAAAGATACTGCCAAATAAGAGTAAAAATCTATCAGCAGTTTATTTGTAAAAATTAAATAAAAAGAATTAAAGGCATATTTAGAATTTTGCCACCTTGCCTTCACTCCCTTCGACAGTAGAGTCTGGTCGGGAGAGGAAGGACCCCGTAAGATTAATAATTTGCAAAGATTAAATTGTTTATAGTAGGTAAACCATTCAATTTGAGCCTACCCACGAAAAACTGGTAAGTTTAAACTTCCATAAATTTATTAAAATAAATTATAACCTAATCACAGGCTGAAATTAAAAACATTGGGAACAATTAGTAAAAGAAACAAACTTTTTACACTCTTGCTTTTTCAGTCATATTACAAGTAACTCAACTTTGCAGCATATTAAAAATAAAATAGTAGTAACTCTCTTTAATAGAACTCTAGAATTTAAAAGATTTTTTATATAAAACTGTAGAAATATATTATTAACATTTAAAAACTTTATTCTAATAAAATTTACTTACTTTGGGAACAGCTCTTCTAAGAATATCTTTGTATTCTTCTTTATTTACATCTCTTGATTTATAAAAAGGTTTCAATGCTAATTTTACTTCCTCTATTACACGTTCCTGCCGGTTCAGTTTCTTTAAAAACTACACAAATACAAACAAAATTTTAGACAATCTGTCACATGAAAAATATAAAAAAGTTAATGACAATTTACTGCAAATTGACAATGTTACAGCAAATTAATGAAAGAAGTGACTATTAATACAGGGCTGAAGAGAATAGAAGCGCTAGTTCACTCCTTTGAAGAAACTCTCGCCACGCCAAACCTCCGACTTTCGCATGTGATGTCACGTTGTCGCAAAGCTTGCGTTCTTTTACTTCAAGAACGAAGCGTTCGGTCTAACTAGTTTCAACTAATATTGGAGCATTCCTTTTTGTGACACATTTCAAGACACTCTTTGTTTCCTATAATGATTTTTCTCTGTTTTGTGAAGTGAATTACAAAAATTTAAAATTATTTGTGAAATGCCAGTTTGTACGATTGCAACTTACAAAAATTCTGATAAAAACACAAAAGGAAAAAATATAATTTTCCACGTGCCCCCTAAAGTAAATGAACAACTATGCAAAGAATGGATTAAACGTTACAAACGAAATGACACAGTTAATATAGAACAGCAATACGTTTATTCTATCTTTAAGAACTTTTATAAAAGTTCACCATCTAAATAGAAACTGCCTCGTTACTTCAAAAAGCAAGGCAGGCGAAAAAATTAAAAGATGAATAAGGTCAAAGAAAATTAAAACATAAATAAAATATATAGTATATAGTTAAAATTCTCCTAATTTCATAACATATTTTTTAATGTTGTNGTTCCGGTTTTTTGGTTTTCCGGTTTTCTGATTTCCGGATAACGGGTTCTGTACTGTATCTATAAACAATTGTAAAATTTCTAATGTCATTATGAACCTAAATTGTTATTTTTTTTCAGTAATTAGCGTTTAAGGTTGATGTTTCCTAATGATTAAGTATGAACAAATTGCTATTAACGGCATATTTCAAAATCATGATTCTAAATTTAACCCAACTATTGTTATCAAAGAATATGCAGATAATAAAACTGTCGATATATGCTTTAATTTTTCTTAATAATTGAAGTTTAAACTGAACTTTTTAAAATAAAATATTTATAGTGTGATATTCGCCAACTAGTAAAATATTTTTATAAGTTTAAAATGGTATTTTTATTCATATAATGGCCAAGAAAGTTTTTTGAATCATGTTTATGAACGGAAATAATGTAAAGTTTGAAATCTAATAACCACAAAAAGTCTAACTTATTTTTACGGAGAGAAAGATGCAAAGTTATAATATTATCTTTGCTAGCGATCTCCAAGATCTGTGTATACAGTGACGTCATGAGGAGGGAAATTGTAGCTTCAGCTCTAAGAGCGGAATGAACTAGCCCTTTTATTCTCTTTAGCCCTGCTATTAATAAGCATGTTAAAGATTAGTATAAATATTAATTTATTAAAAAAAAATGTATTTCGTAGTCTCAGAATACACCAGGGATGGTGCATGGACATGTAAACAACAAAGTGGAGATGTTAATTTAGAAAACTATATTTTATACTATTACTACATTCTTATAAGACTTAGAATTACTGCAGAGGTTAAAAAGTTTTCATATTTAAAAAAAAGTATTTAATTAAAGAATTTAAAAATTAAATAAATAATAAATATAGTTTAGTGTGTTACAGTATTTAAAATTAAACTCTATAACAATATAAATTAAATAGAGATAAATAGACATTTTGAACAGTAAATAATGTTAATGAAAGACTTCAAGTTCTCATAAAGTAATATTTTTGGTGATTTTGATAACTCTTTCCCTTATCCACAAGCAAGAATAGGTAAATAATGTGTATACAACATGTAAACGTGCAAATAGCATGTAAATGTAATGAAAATATATGTAATAACAATGTAATATTAACAGGGTGCATAGTCAAATCTTTTAACAAAAAATAAGCACCTTTTAAGTACTTTTTAAGCACTCAAAAAGTATTTTTAAGCATGATATACATTAACAAAATGCAAAATAATTTTCTAAGTCTTTACACCACCATCATGATAAAATAACCAATTTCTGACAAAAAAAACTTTTTTTGATTATATTAGCCACCATAAAAAAAGATCAAAATATTTTTCGGTTCGATATCACAGGGTGGAAAATGAAGCCTGAAATAGAGAATATCTTGCAAAATGCAGTAGAGTTGCACATGAGAGTGCTAGAATCTCACCGAACCTAGCTCAGTAAACTCACATGCGGACTCGTAAGTATTTTCCTCAAACATGTAAAATGATTGGCGCTTTTGTACGCTATGGACCGACGGGATGCAATAGACTGTGGTTGAATGAATTGTGAAAACGTTGAATAGAACAATGTGAAAAGCACGCTATTGCTTAATACGTGACGAAAATTGACACGGTAAAGAATAGAAATCTCATTTTCGAAAAGGGAAAATTAAGCATTTTTAAAAACACCCAATATAAAAAGCACTTTTACGGGCTTTAAAAAAAACGGAAATCAAAAATAAGCACTTTTTAAAAACGCTATGCACCATGATTAAAATGTAATAAAAATTTGTAGCTTATGTTATTTAATTAAAGTTTATGTAAACAATTTTATGAAGTCTCTTTTTCAAAATCAATTCAGATAATTGCATATACAAATGAAGTGGATTTGATTGCTAGAACAAATAATGATTTGAAGGATGCATTCTCCTAACTTTAAATGTCAGCTAAAAAATTTATTATTAAAAAACAAACAAATATAAGATGGTCACTAGAGATAGAACAATGTAACCCTACTTTGAAATTGACACAAATATATTTGAAACCATACAAAACTTCTTTTATCTGGGTTCTGCAATTGGCTTTGATAACAGCATAAAAGTTAAAACCACACTATCAACAGATATTGAAATGACTTAGATCAACATACATAAAAGATATATCTATTACAGCTCAAACCTATTATATTCCCAGCCATGACTTATTATTATACAAAAACGGACAAATTGGAAGATATTTTTATTCATTCACCCTTTCTAATGTCACTAATTACCAAACCCTAACTTTTTCATTTGTAAAATTTTAAAAAANCCGGTTTCAGTCACGTAAATTTAATCTTAACTAAGAAAAGAAATAAAATAAATGTGGAATTTCGCGGGGATTTAAGACTAAAATTGACCAATTTTGAACCCAATATAACGAACCTTGCAAAAAAAACAAAAAAAAACACCAGGCACACCCATGTCATTGATTAAGACGCAATAAATCCGCAATTGCTTTACTTATTATTTCTACTTACAATTACTTACAATTTCATAGATATTAAAGTATTTATATTTCAACATTAATATGTTTTTCATAAAACTATTGTTACACTATGTACTATTACTTTAATAAACGTTCAAAATCATGAAATAAATGTACAAACGCAGTATCTAATAGAGTTTTATTTTAATTAACAGAAAATTACTTTTATGGGGGTCGATGGAGATTTCGAAAAATTACGTAGGGGTCGATGATCAAAAAAGTTTGGCAACCCCCGACTTAGACCAACATACATAAAAGATATATCTATTACAGCTCAAACCTATTATATTCCCAGCCCTGACTTATTATTATACAAAAACGGACAAATTGGAAGATATTTTTATTCATTCACCCTTTCTAATGTCACTAATTACCAAACCTTAACTTTTTAATTTGTAAAATTGTAAAAAAGGAGGATCAGCTGGTATGTATAGCAATTACATTTACAGACAGCTACTTTGCGGGGGGAAAAAACACTCAGAATAACTTTTGACCAGATCTTCACATATTAGAACTCAATGTTAATGATTTAAAGATATGTCCTCAAATATGATAATTAGTGCAGATAAAATTTTAAGTTCCAAAGTTGGACACAAAAACATACTTTCTCTGAATAAGATACTTTTATTCTAATGTATTTGGATTCTTTACTTTACAAATATGGGATGAGAAATGTGGTTCGAATAGTTTGCTCAGAAGAGAGGTCAAAAGTTGTTAATGTTAATTTTACTTTTTGTACATCTCGCCATATCTTGAGAATTAAGTGAATCAAAAACATTTTCACACAATAACTTTTAACTGTTATTTTTTGATATTTTATTTAATAAAGGTTGAAAAAAATTTAATTGTAAAGTATGCAACTTTTTATGACAAATACAAAATGTGAATGAAATCAGTTGCATTGTTCTCAAGAAATCAATTTTATAAATATTTGACTTTTTTAACATTTGATATCTCAAATAACATTTGATGAGCTACCTAAAATATGGTTTGTATCAATTCATTAATTAGCATATTTAAGGTCAGCCTTTTGACCCCTTAAATCCCAGTACATGAGAATTAGAATATTAGGTTATTTGGCATGTTTTTTTTTGTTTTTCATTATGCATGTTGATACAACAGTGTAACCTGACAAGCTGATCATCTATTTACAGAGACCCCCACCAGGGGGAGAGGTGGGCGCACAATGCGCCCACTTAAAGCTTGGGGGGGAATTTTTACACTAAATAAAACGAATAGTTTGGGGGAGAATTTAGAATTTGCCCAAGATCTTGGGGGCGATGGGGGCTACTGTCTATTTACAACCTCTATTATTAAGAAAATAAAAGGGAGAAAAATGTAACCTAATTATCTATCTTATATGTTGATTTATATTACTAACATACTCGCATACTGAATTTATTCCAAGATCCACTGGATAACTTACTTTTTAATAGTAGTTTAATCAATGTAAGTGTAAGGTTGAACCTTTTTTCATCAAAGGTTTAATTTTGAAGTAAATATATAAAAAGAACATCAAAAGATATTAAGAAAAAAATGTTCAAATAAAGAAACAAAATAATTTTAGAACAAATAAACATGAAGTGCAAAATTTAAAAAAAAGCAACAAAAAAAAAGTGTAAAAGGCATTCTTTTTTATCTATGTTCTTCAACAAATATAATTTTATATGAATTAAATATAATCTTAAGAGAATAAATATTTTATACTGAAATTCTTATTTAAACATAAGGAGTTTTTTTTAAAAAAAAAAATTTGAAAATTTTTTACTGCTATTCAAGACGTTCTTTGTAACCTTAAGGATAACACAGACTTCAAATTACAATTATAACACTTTAATAGAACATTTTCTTTTCTTTAGAAGGCATGTAGTAATGAGTTCAAACACAAAACTTTAATAACAAAAAGCCATACTATTTAACTAACTTGCGATAAAATTAATTTTCAAAATTCATACGTATTTATTATACAAAAAATATTTAAAAAAGAGAACTTACCTTCTCTTTAACTTGCATCTCTACAGCAGAACTTGGAAGTTCATCTAAAATTTTCAATTGTGAGTCCTCCAATTTTAAGATTTTTTCAGCAATTTTTTGCTCTTTGCGAGCTTTCTTGTTTTTCTCTATTTGCATTTTTACAGAATGCTTTGATTTAGAGTCTGTTCTGTGATCATGCTTGGATTTTTTAGACGAGGATTCATTAGTACCTTTTGACCCTGAGCGTGATTTTGAACGTTCATGTTTTGATACAGATTCGTGAGGCCGTTTTTCAGAAGTCCTGATATCAGCAGAAAACAGAGTATCAAAAATGTCTCCAGTTTCTTTTGGAGTTGATGGCAGAGGAGAACCTGTGGGAGAATAATCATTTACACTATCAACAGAACAGTCACCTGGTGAGTATGGTGAATCTACATCCATATCAATAACTTCATTCTTTTCTCCAGGAGTAGGAGGTTTAGAAGGCTGTTCTGATTTTTGATTGGAGCTTACTGGTATAGTTTGGCAATGAGAAAGCATTTGTGTAATGGACATAACATGAGGTTTATTATTGCTAATATTTTGATTTGGCATAAGCGGAACTTGATTTGGTGCTAAAAACCTGTTGCTTTGTTGATTGGTAATATTGCTAGGAAGACTGACAGGCAGGTTTTGAGTTGTAAATGGTAATGGCGATTGATGATTTGCTAAAGCTGCACATAAATTAGGTGGAAGGTGAGGAAGGGGAGGTAACTGCAATTGTGGTATATTGAGGTTATGAGCAATACCCAGGTTCTGAAGAATCGAATTGGGTGGTAATGGGGGTTGAACATTTAGTTGAGGGTGTCTAATTTGAGAAATTAAACTAATGGCTGATGGTGGTGGCGGAGGTGGCGGCACTGAAGTCATATGAGGAATGTTAGGGGGGTTGGGTGGTGGTGGCAGAGAGGTATCTGTATGTATAAAATTTCCAGCCATTACAGGAGGCATGTGATTTGTAGCTAAAATATTAGAGCCATTTACTTGAAAACTCAAAGTTCTAGGGGGTAGTAAAGAGGAGATGTTAGATAAGTTGTTAGCTTGAGATGAATGAGACAAGAAACTTGGAGGCGGCAGTAGCATACCAGTAAAAGCAAGTGAACTTGGTGTTTGAGTTTCAACAGTAACTGGTTGAGCAGTGCTGGAAACTACAGGAGGAGTTTGGTTATGAAGAACACTATGAGACTCTTCATGAACAACATCAGTTGGCTCAGGTTCAGGTGGCAAAGGAGGCAGTTCAGGGGAAGGAGGAGGTTTAGGATTTGATGATGGTAGGGGTGGTGGTGCAGGAAAGGATGGAGATGGACTTTTTGTGGGCTCACATGGATCATAACTGTCATTATCAGCAGGAGACGGAGGTGATGGTGATCGAGGGGATCTTCTTTTTGAGATAAAAGTATCTTCTTCTTTGGAAAATTTATCAATTAATTCTTCAGATACAGTAGACTTTGCTTCCATTTCAATGGTTCCATCCTTTGCTTCTTGATTTGCAAGATCATCAGTACTATTTGAACTATTACTGAAATTATCTGCATCATTAACTGATCCAACAGAATCATTGTCATCATCATGATGGGACTCTTCATCTGACTTATCAGAAGCAATAGAATTGTTACCATCAGGATCATCACCACCTTGCCAATAGCTCTCGCTAACTGACAATACTTGGGTAGGTCTTTCCGGTGGGGTAACAGGTCTTTTAACTGACATGCCATCTAATGAAGATTTTTTATCTGAACTTTTAGATTTGCTCCTTAAATCTTCATTCAAATTTGCATCTTTATCAAGATCTTCCTTAGTTAATATCTGATCCGCCGAGTTTACTTCAAGTGCTTCTGAAGTGGATACATCTTTGGGAGAGGAATTACGATTAAAACTGACATTAATGATAATGCTATCACCTTTTGCAAATATTTCTTTGGACTCTATTGAAGTCATCTCAGAATAGGCATTCCTTTCAGTTTCCCTTTTGCGCTGATGAAGTTCTTTTTCAAGTTTTGGATCTTTCTTATCTTTAGTCTTTGATTTCTCTTTTCGGTCTTTTTGTTCAACTACAATTTTCAACTTGTCATCAATTTTAAGCACCTCTCTTTGTTTGTCAATGAAACTCTCATGAGGATGTGTGTGCTTATGTTTTTCACGGGAATGATCTTTAGAAGCTTTGATATTATCATCCTTACGATCCTTTCGTTTGTTTTTGTGTTCTTTATCTTTAGATTTAGTTTTTTCATAGATTGCTCTTTCAAATCTCTCTTCTTTATCATACCTGGAATCTCTTTCATACCTATTATCATCTTTTATTTTTTCTCTTTCTTTATCATATTTTGATTCTTCTTTAGAATGTCTACTCTTATCATGTTTATCTTTTCTATCTTTGGAATGCTTTTCTTTAGGATGCCTATCTTTATGATCCTTGTGGTATTTCTTTTTATCCCGATCAGAATAATCCCAGTCTTCTTTACTTTTATCATTTTTCCGAGAACGTGATTCATTTTTAGATTTTTCTGAACCTTTCTTTTTATCTTCACGTCTGCGATCACTGCTTTTACTGTCAGTCCTCCTATTATTATCAAAGTTCTTTCGTTCTTTATTTCTAGATTCTCTTTCTCGATACAATAATCTTTCATCTTTAGGTCTGCCATCACGGTAGCTTCTTTCACGTGTATGTTTTGAAAGTCTTTTCCAACTAACATCACCAGCTCCCAAATCAACTCTACTCAATACACTTGTACGCTTGTTATCAAACGAGGGTGGTTCTTGAACGTTATCCTTATCGCGATTTCTTTTTAATTTAGGAATTCTAGGCAAATCTGAAATGCTCATTCGTGGAGCACGTTCCACATAATCACTAGTATCATCATAATAACGATCTCTCTTTCTTCTTTCAGTCTCTCTGGCAGGTTTGTCTTCAATTATTTCCCCTTCTTCTTGATCTTCAAATACCTGATCAGAGAATTTTTTATTATCATCAGAAACATATCGTGAAGAGCTTTCAGTTGCTCCTGAAGTTTTTGTTTGATGATTTCCTTTCCCCTTTTCAGAAGCTGGTTCATCAGGAAATTCATCAAGATCTTCACTACCAGCTTCAGAAATGTCTTCTATTCCTAAATCAACATCTGGATCTTTAACATTATCAGATGCATTATTGTTTACTACATTGTCTTCTTGTTTGCCAGGGGCATCATTTTCATATTCATAATCTGGTGTTCTTGAAAAATCTTGATTAGCATTTTCACAATGAACAGCCTGCATGGGTGAATTTTCTATTTCTCCTTCTAAATTTTCATCTAAACAAGGAGTACTGGCATCCTCAAAAGACTCACAATCTTCATATTCATTGTCAGATTTGACAGTCTCGTCATTAGAAATGTTTATTGTTTCTGTAGTGACAGTGCCAGTAACCCCCTGAGAAGGTGGAGGATTTGAATCAGTGATATCTTCAACATCACTTTCATCGTCATCATTCTGTTGTCTATTTGAAAAATTGAAACTTGATTCATTATCAACACTCACATTTTGATTTGAGTTAACTTGATTATCTCCATCACTATCATCATTCTTATGTTTTGAGGAATTGGGACTAAGTTGTGTTTCATTTAAAGAATTTTCATCCATATATTCACCAACTTCATTCTGAGAATTTTCATCAGTGCATTCTCCTGTCTCCCCTTGCTCAATATGTTGTTCACTATTTTTAAAATTAAAAGTAGCACCGCTTCCAACCTGTGAATCACGGCAGTTTGAGTCATTGGAATCTCCACCATCTTCTGGCTCACTTCTATCCGCATTTTGCTGATTGCTGGAAAAGCTAAAATGGGAATTGTTTTCACTTTGGGAGATAGCGCACTCTTCTGGTAGAATTCTTCTGTCATTCCTAGAAGAATGAGCAGAACTAGAATTAGAGTTAGCACCAGGCTGGGAGTTTTCATTCAAGTCCACATGACGGATTTCATTACGATCACTGGCAACACAAAAATTATACTTTTTATGTTTATAAGGTTGCTCAGTATGAGAAGTGGAATCACTGACATTTGAAGTATTTTCTTGAAACTCATCTACTTCCATTTGAGACATAGAATCATTAGTATTGTCATTGGTGCAACTATTTAGAGCTTCAGGAGTATTTTTCCCAACAGGTTCTAATGCAGAGTTATCATTTTCACAGAAATCATTTTCATTACAAATGCTATTTTCACACTGAGTAAGAGACTTAGGAGATGACTTTACGCTGCATGAATTGCTACCATAGCCTTGGTAGCTTTTTCTAGTAGAATCCACAGAATTTTCCTCATCTTGCACTTCCATATCACTCTCTTGATTTTCTTCATCGCTACAAGATTCATTCATTTGTGTATTTTGAGTCTGAGTGTCATGTTTTTTACCACTCTCTTCACAGGAACTTCTTTTTAATGAGATTCTACCAGTATACTTATCATAATTTTTATTTAAAATTGGAGAACTAGATTGATCACAATCAATATCAACTTGATAAGAAGCTCTAGCATTTGCATCACCTGCCACATTATTGATTTTGGAACATGCAAATCCCTGAGGTTCAGTTATTCTCTCACTTTCTTCTTCAGCTGGCATGTCTTCATCGATCACTAGCTCATTGTCAGTTGAGTCACTTACATCATTAGTGTCACTCTGCTGAGATTCTTCCACACATTTATATGAAATCTTAACTGGTTCAACTTGATCAGACAAAGAGTTATCTTCTTCTCCAACAGATTCAATATCACTGTAAATATCTACTTCATCTTCACTATGGTGGCTTTTATTATCTTTATTTGAGTCTTGTGTTTTTTTCATGTCATCAGAGGTAGATGTACAACAAAAACTCTTAGGACCAGTAGGAGAATTAGGCTCATTGTTATATCGTTCATTACCTCCTCCACCAAATGCAGATCCTGACAGGATACACTCATCATAACTTAAAGGTCGCTCCCTAGGAGCAGATGATGAGCTACAAGAGTAATTCTGCCTAGGTGTCTCACCATATTTGGAGTTGCTTTGAGTGGAATGTAGAGGGATTTGCTTCCCAACTGCCTTGTTAATGTATGGAGATACCGCATTATCACTAAAGAAGGATGAATTAGCAAATGGACTTTCACTTTCACTGTTTTCTCCAGAAACAGATAAAGGGAACATTGAATCTAAATTGAGAAGTGTTCTTGTTTTAATGCTTGAATTACGTAATACGGAACCATCTCTAGAAACAGTTAGGACATCCGGACTATGCAGGAGACTCTGGCTTTGAAGAATACTACCAACAACATCGAAATTATCTGCTGTAGGAGAGGAAGGCAACCTGAAATATAAAATAATGTAATAATAGTATAAAATATATAAGATTAAGCATCCTAAATAAACACTAATTTCATAAACTTATAATTACAAGAATAATTAACAATCAGCTGAAAATCCAAGATTATATGAAATAACTGATAAAATATACTATTACAATCTATTTATATATGTAGTGATAATAACGAAAGAATGTTTTAAAGTTTTAACTATGATACTTGAAATAATCAAATATTATATTCAATGAAAACTTATTCATAACACATTAATGAAAATCACCAAAATCAAGTTTATTTTATGCTTTTATAGCACAATTTTTAATAAGATGTTCTTATTTCAATAAAGAAACATTAAATACTGGACAAAAGAAGAAAAATATTTGCATATGCAAATTTTTGTTTTGTACCTAAAATCACTATAGCCTTCATCAGAATCCATTGTATAGTGACTTTGAGAGTTAGTAGTAGCTGCAGTAGTGGCAGATGTAAGTAATCTTTGATTTCTGGCCCTGTATAATTCATTCCTGCGTTTAGTACTCATTAAGGGACATCTTGATTTTGTTCCATTTGTTACAACCTGATTCTAAAAAAAAACATACATAACTTTTCAGCATATGTTTACATTTTTCTAAACATTTCAAAACAAAACATTTGAAAGTATGAGATAAAGTATATAAAGTCTGATTGATCCATTAATACCTAGTCTGCATGCTTCTAAAAATGTACTAAGCCCTTGGGAATTCCCTTTTTTATTGACTTAAATTATTTTTATATACAGTTATAATTGTGATTTAAATTATAATTCTGAATTATCTATGGACTCAGCAATAAGTTCATTATAAACAGTTGTTAACCATATTCAAATTCTTTGAAAAGTTATTTTTTTGAAAATGACAATAGTATTCATGTTAGTAGTGATTACAATAGTAAATAATTTGTTTGTAAATAATGAATTGATTTGGATTATAAGAGCTTACCGATTTGCATATCAAAAGTTAGTAAAGAATCCAGGATTTCCTATTCCCGATTCTCTTCTGGGGAAAAAAAATAATTTTAAATAAAAGGATGTTTTGGAAAAGGTTTGTGCTACTTATCAACTTGTTTGTCTTAGGTTAAATATGAAGCAAGAGTAAGACTGGACATAACGTCATAATGATATGTCCCGTCACTTGCAACTGCAAAAATCCGAAGGAAATGAAGTTAAATACCTCTATGAACCAATTACAAATTTTTCAACTGTCCACTATAAGTACATGAAAGAAGGTTTGTTAGATAGAAGTTCAGGAGGGACCAATAAAAAGTTCACTACAATCGAGTGTTGACTGTATCCCCGGTTCATTACAGCAGTGTTTGACTGGATTTATTTCACTTAAATTTTCAGTAAGCACATTACATTTTTTCAAATATTTTAAATAAAAATATAATATCGAATTGCAATTTTCTTTAAATGGGGGAAAAACAAATTTACAAACAAAAAACAGCACTTTATAAGGTTTTCTGATGATTTTTATAATGGTTTAGTAATACTTTTTACAAGCATTTTTTCAAAATGCATTCTACACATTTTATCACTAGTGCTCACAAATATATTTTTTGACTATGATAAAGATAGTCAACATTTATCATTTAAAGAGTTCAAATTTTTTGGCGTTTATTTTTCCCTTTCACTGTATGAAATTTTTTTTCTTTGTAAAACATAAAATATTAAATATCACATGTTTCCAAATATTTTACAGTTAGTGGTACTCTTTATTCATTTAAAAATTATATACTTTATATTTCATTTTGGCAAGTGTCTCACATTTTTGATACACAAAATTAAAAAGAGCAAATTTAATTAAGATGGCAAACAACATGCAAGCAGTATATAAAATAGAACAGTATAAGTATACTTATACAATTAAAATTTGTATCCACATACTTGATATAATCGAGTATTGGCAGATCGATGATCTAATTCTTCATCAGAGGACTCTGACGTTGATAGAATACTCCGGACAAGAGATTTTTGATAGAGAAAGCGCTGTGAGAGCAAAAAGTCAAATTACACATAAAAAGTATTGTGTCAGTTAATTTTGTTTCAGAATTCAGAAAATAAAAAACAAACAATTTATTGTACATGTTTATTACCTGGCGCACTCTAGCATATTCCCTTGTTGAATGTGGGCTACGTAGAGCCTGTGGCATTGCTGGTTGAGAAATTCTACTACGGGGAAATGTCCGAGAATTGCTAAAACGACGTTTAATGCTCTGTAGCACCCGATGAAAATCCAGCAAACATTTATCTACAAAAGAAAAAATTGATTAATGTAGTCACATTTTTATTAAGCTATTCTCTTCTTCTTTTTTTTTTTTCAATGACAGGAATAAATGTATTAGGTTATGCTAGAGAGAGAGAGAGATAACTAGTAAATTATCTTTTAAAAAATACTTTTAATTACTTGATAAGAAGACTTTTTTTGTGTTACAATTGGCAAAAATATTTAACTGATCATTGGTAAAAAACAAAATAAATCATAATTATTAATTCATAAATAATGACAGATTTATATTTTTATACATGCACATTAGATCACATTATGATCTTTAATCCTTTCATTGTCATTCCAGACTTTTTTGAACTTTAAGTACCAGGCTTTCCTACATTAAAAAAAAGTTTCTCCTTTTTATTTAATAGAAAAATAGAGTGAAATAGAGGATTACAGTACAATTTGGCCGAGGTAAATGTTTGTAGGGTTTAAATTGATTGTTCTAATATTATATCCTAACCACTTTCTTTTATAGTTTGGCTGATCTTTGCTCTAATAATTTTTTAAGACCCAGTTTAATTTTTTAAATGAAATTCTTCTATATTGCAATACATGACTATTTTTGTTGCATGAATAATTAGAAAAAAACCTTATTCAAAACACCTTTTAACAAACACTTATAGTCAAAAATGTACATTTATTGCATTTGTAAAAATTTTAACAAATGCATAAATTAAAAAATGCTGGTTAATGAAATAAAATGTGATTCTAGATCAAAATAAAAAATACTTCAACAATAAAGGCACAGTTCAATTTCTTAAAACTTGTCAAAAGTGTAGTTTTTATAACACTTAAAAAAGGTAAGCATAATCTATTCTGTAGGAAAAAATGCATAGGTACAACCAATAAATGAGGTAGAATTTAAGGCAAAAATAATAATAAAAATAACAAAAAGAAAAAAATTGAAAACTTACCTCTGATTCGAATGTAGTTCTCACATGTAGGACATTGCCAAAAATCCATATGAGGATTACAAAGAGTTCTGATGCATGCATAATGATAAAACTTTTGACATTCATGGCACAATAAGAGAGACTCATCACCTTCCTCTTCATTACACACTTCACAAAAATTTGCTTGACTTTCAGTATTAGATTCTGATTCTAGTTCAGAATTGTAGGGAAGTTCAGAATTGTTAACAAATATCTGAAAAGAAATAACTTAGAAGTTAAATATTTTTTATTAATCAAGACCATATAAGTCTTATTAAAGGTATAAAAACAACAGCTCCATTCAATTCATAATTATTTTACTAAAAAGTTTACCATCAAAGAAAGTTTCATCTGGAACTGAATTTTCCAGAATAGTGAAAAAACTCTGTGAAATAGGGTTGATTAAATGCAGAATTTAATGGTTTAACACAAAGATCTTTAATACTCATTGTAATGAAATCAAAGAGTATAAACCAAAGCTTATTCTTTTTAGGGTTTAAAGTCATCTGTAGGCCCTTTGATCCTAGTAACTAGGATCAAAGGGCACACAGACAAAAGGAATTGATGTAAGAGAATTTATGAAACAGTTCCTTGCAAACAGACATGAACACACATACAATCTTTCTGCCATAAGGCAGCGTGTAAAAGTTCCATGTGACTCTGCTTAAGAGGAAATAATGTTAGTAACTTCAGCATCATAGATATCTACCACTTCCTGGGAAGAAAACTTGCATCATTCATTGAAGGGCAGCACTTGTTGTCTTTAAACTCTTTCTAAGATTTTGGAGAAATCCCCCGATATTTACAGAATCAATAAATTTCTCGATAATTCCCGGTTTTCCCTCTCGCTGGACACCCTGTAGTTACACACCTAGATATTAAAAATAACAGGCTCTCTTCATGTCAATTCCAAAGATAGCATCCCGAAAGATCTTAAATTTCAGCAGTTATTTAATTGCCTTTTTAGTAGATTCTAATGATTTCAGTTGAATTTTAGTTTTTTTTTGTGACATTATGACTCTCAAATTTTGAATGATGACGATTCTACCCTAAATAAATGTTTTTTCCCTCCGGCAGTTATAAGATATTTATTTTCAGCTGAAAAAACTATGATATCGCAATTTTGTTTTATCTATGTATCAGTCTAATGCAAGACATGTGACAATATAAATTTAATCTCCTAATAAGATTAAAACCGCTCTTTTTCCTTTGCAAGTTTCAAAATTTTTATATACGTGATAGTAATTTAAAAAAAAAGGACTTTAATAAATTATTTTGAACAAATTACCTAATAATATACATGATTTCCTTCCTTTTTTTTCAATATGGACATTATTATTTTTTTGTCATATCATACAGCAAACACAGAATGAAATAGACACTTTGGCTTACAAAAGAGCACTCGCGAAAGAATGCAACAAGCTATGCTAAAGCTTAAGACTACTAAATAAAAGAAATAAATCTTAAACAAAGAAGATTCTCACCTTTTTAATTATTTTTTCTTCTTTGTGGTGACGAATCAATATTATGTTGAACTTCAATCTATCGATCGGACAAGTGTTGACATTCTAAAAAACAATTACATTTTAAAACATTCAAATGAAGTTAAAAAAAAACTTTGTACAGAAAAAATATACTTTAAGCTTTTCTATATTCACACTTTATTTCTTTCTTATTCAGACTTGCTTTTATAAGATAAATAATAATGAAAAATAACCAAAAAAATATTAATGATACCTTGGCCCATTCTTGCAAGCACTCAAGGCAAAATACATGATCACAGGTCTCAGGAGTAGCTATGTCTTGTCCTAGAAATTTACTGAGGCATATTGCACATTTCTCAGATTGTTCATTGTCACTTAAATCAGTAGAGGCTTCAGCACCTTCATAAATTTATAAGTTAAAGGCATAAATTTTTTTTTTTAAAACTGAATCATATAAAATTATAATAACAATAAGAAAAATATTAAACTCTAATTTGAATTTATTTTAAAACACACTTTATTCCAAAGGAAAAATCAGGACATTTAATGAGCCAGTATACATATATCAGATGACGTTTTTAGAAATAAAGCAAATGGCAAAAAAAAAAAAAAAAGATTTATAAGCTTTTCCTAAGTGTAATAAGAAAAAAATTTATCACAAAAGAATAATAAAATATACTTCAGCAGAGCCTTGATCGATTGTTTCTCAAAGGCCCTTTAATTGCGAATGTAGCTACGGGAAAACAATAAATGCCCGTTAATATAAAATGTTGCCTTCAAAATATATGAAAAGTAATGTAATCTTACCTACAAGATTTGTTAGTGCATTTGTTCAAACAGGGTGTTTAGCAGGTCCAGAGAAGGAAAAAAAAAAAATTCCTCTGAACTAGTTCTTGAGTCCTTTTTACGCAGCATTTTACTCTTCATTTTTTTTTACTAATACTTTTTTATTTATAAAAATTATTAATGTTATTTTATTTAATGTATTTTACATTGGTCAAATATAAAAAAGCTAAAATTTTTTGATAGACTAACGACCAATAACACGTTTCTTTATTGAGTAAAAAGTCAATGACATGTCTTTCGTAAGCATGATACATTATTTAATATATAAAAAAAATGGCGTGCTAAAACAGTTATAAATCTGTAGTATTGCTATTTTTATATGCACTATGATTTTCTACATAGAGCAATCTGGCGATAAAAATTCAACTATGTTCAAAAACAGATTCAGAACATTACATAATAGTTTTAAATTTACATCTCTTCTTTAGATTTTCTCAAAATTAAACAATGTCCAAAGAAGAATATTTAAAAAAAATATTAACTTACATTATAATACATCCTTCCTTCCAAAAAAATCTATACTATTATTTACATAAAAGTGGCTTTTTATTTCCTCTTCAAATTTCAATACAATTAAAAATTTTAAAAAAAAGTATGCAATTTTAATGCACTATAAATCGAGAATAACTTGAAATTTTGTTCAATACATTCTAAGATGTTCTATGCATGACAAATTAGTCACACGACACACATGAAGCCAGTAATCCAGAGAAAGTAAACAAGCAATATGCTCGCTTTAGGGAAACAGAATCACAAATTCACAGAGCAACATGTAGGACGACATTTCCATAAATTTCTGATTCTGAGGAGTTCAATACCAGGGATGAGAGTAGTCAGAAAGTAACAAAGAGGAAATCCAAATATATATATATATACATATATAAACAAAAATTTGACAAAAAAAGTGCGATTTTTAAACTTGTAAACCATGTGATTATAAATCCCGATATGAGGCTTTTAAATAACGTAAATATGAAACTCTACATCGAATTTAAAAAATGCGAAAATGTAAATCATGATGCGTAATTTTTAGATCACGATGCATAATTTTTAAATCGCGCGATATTACAACTGCAAAAACGAATCACGACATTGGATTTTAAGCTCGCGTGAATACGAATTGCTACATAGGGTTTTAAAAGCTCGTAAATACAAATCGCGATATTGGTTTTTTAAATCTCGTAAATAAGAATC